CGGTGACTATGAAGAAAGCAGTCTTCTGGGATTTGGCACCGTGTATATGTGGTGTTAACCGACGTTTCGGAGGAACGTATCGCCTCTATCTTCAGGGTAGAAGAAAAAATATAAGAATTTTGCAAGCAGAATTCTTATATATTTTGTTCCTCCGAAACATCGGTTAACACCACATATACACGGTGCCAAATCCCAGAAGACTGCTTTCTTTGTGATCTGTCATCTTTGAAAGCACCTGCTTTTCTACATCTCTGCTACACTGAAGCACATGGTTTGGTACAGGTGACTCTCCTTATACTTTCAGGTGGCATTCCCCCCAAATCACTGTGAATACTGAAAATGCATTAACCAGGAAATGCATTGCGTGAACACTGAGTGCAGTGGAGAAGAAACAGAAAATGATGTAAGTCAAAATGGCGGCATGTGCCAGGGAACTGCACCCACAACTCACTGGCCATGCATGGCAGCTTCTACTGCAGACATGAAAAAGACACTGATGCTTCTTGAGAACAACTAACTAACTCCATGGACCCCAATCTTTCTTCAGAAATCACAAGTTGCTCAATAACTCAAGATCTTCCTAACATTTTATGGAACTGAGTGTCCATAACCATGTTCACAAGAGCGCTCCACTGGTCACTATCCTTAGCCAAATCAGTCCAGATCATACAAACTCCATCCTACTTCTCTAACACCAATTTTAATATTATCATCCCCCCCCCTACATTTAGGTCTTCCTAGTGTTTGTTTCCTTCTGGCTTTGCCACCAGAATGCTATATGCATTCATATTCTCTTCCCCTGGCATGCTCCATGCCCTTCCCATCTTGTCCACTTTGACTTGTTCATTCTAATTTCATTTGGTGAAGGGTACAAATTATGGTGCTCCTCTTTATGCAGTCTTCTCAAGCCACCTACCATTAATACCTCTTCAGTCCTATTATCCTTAGAACTCAAATACCTTCAGTCTGTGTTCTTCCCTTAATGGCAGAGACCAAATTTCACACCCATACACAAATACAGGCAAAATTAGTTCTGTATATTATATGTTTTCTAATAGAAGACATGAAGACCAGAGATTACGAACTGAATGATAGCAAGCATTACCTGAATTCTATCTGCTCTTAATTTCCTCAAGAACAAAACACTGACTTGTTACTATCATTCCCAAATATTTCAACTCAGCCACGTTTTCAATGGATCTATTAGCTATATTTGTGTTATTGTATTGCCCAGTATTCTGGTGACAAGGTGTCAATATACATGTACTTGGCTTTCTCTGTATTTACTGCTATATCAGTCTCATGACACTGAAATAAAACCGTGGTTAACAGAACTGTGTAAAACTGGAGTGCCTTATACATGTTTTACAGTGAAAACATCAACATATATTTTAATTTATTCAAATGTATAATTTAACAATTCTATACTTTGTATTTAAAAAGTATTTTTGCAAATATTTTAACATGTTCATAATTAACACTACTACTAAGAAAAACAGGGGTATGTGGTAGTGTAGTGGATTGAGGCACGATGTTACAAGCTGGAAGGTTGCTGGTTTGAGTCCTAATGAGGTGGATTTTTTTTTTTTCACTTTACTTAATCCTTCCAGCCGCACTATGGTCCTGAGGTCGACTTAGCCTCTAACAGAAATGAGTACCAGGAATCTTCCTGGGGCGTAAAGGGCAGCCGGCTCGTAAGGCTGACAACCTTACCACCATTTGTGAGTCAACTGTCTAGAAGATGTGGGACCCTCAATCTCTCACAACCCTATGGGAATTCATGGCCAATTGCAGGAATAACGTTACCTTTTAGCTTTACTAAGAATAAAAAATCAGCTGTACTAACATATGATTGTAAAATATTTGCACTAATAATAATTTATAACTGTCAGCTATTATTTTAAGATGTGCTCTAGAGGAATGAGTTGATCAGCTTAGGAAACAAAATATATGCTTGAAAATTGCATGGAAAAAGAATGAGGGAACCACTATGTAAAGGGAGAATAATAACAGAACATATGAAGACTGAAGAATTGTACTGTATCTTCCGAGTTATAACACCATGTAGTTTGGTGAAAGTAAACCGACGTTTCGGAGGAATATATCGCCTCCATCTTCAGGGTCGAAGTGTAAGCCAAGCAAGAAACCAGCATGAAGCAGGCCATATAAAGATAACTGTCTTCTGGAATCTTATGCAATGTAGTCTGGTAGATCATTACCAATTATTAGAAAGGATTTGCCTTCTCTTTCTGAATACTGAATTTATTGCCTCTGGATTGCAGAAAGCCAATCTTAAATTGAGGAAAACCTTAAACTGAGGAATATGAAATAGGAAATTCACCATGTTATGAAATATCCGTTATCTCCTGTGGTCGCTTATCTCCGTCAAGTATCTGTTTTAGGGGGTGTATGTGTTATAAGTGGGGCACTTTTTTGTCTCATTCTTCACAGACACACAACTTTCACCAAAGCTGAACCTGTTCTATATGCTTACAGCATTGGGAAATAATTTACAACCTTCTAACATTGCATAAGAGACTATACACATTAAGTATGCATGTAACAAGAGTGACTGACTGACTAATTTTAACTAACATATCACGCTAACTAATTAACCAACTACATGATGCTGGACAGTAATTATGTTTCTTTAATTCTCTTATTGGGGGGTGAAGTCCAACTGGGTCCACTCGTCACGGCGGCCATTGATTGGCCTATTGTAGCCTGCCTCAGGTGATTATGATGATGGAGAATTTGATGGAATAAAGATTGACAGGGGAAACCGAAGTACTCGGCCCCAGCGCCACTTTGTTCTCCACAAATCCCACTTGACCAGACCCGGGATCAAACCCGGGCCGCCGCGGTGGGAAACCAGCTAACTACTTGAGCTATGGTATGGCCCTCATGCTCGAGAGTAACTCTCAGCTAGTCAAGAAATATACTGCTGCTGTGGAACTCATAGAGTGATTACCATGTAAGTTTGATGTTCCCATGGTGATGGCTATGAAGATTCTTGTCTTCTAGCAGGTGACACCTTTTTGTCTGGTAGATACTTAACTAATGTTTTGGAGGCCCATGTAGATGAAGGCAGTAGGTTCTCCAAAACATATATACAAATATCTACCTGATCACGTGGCATCTGGACCCAGAAAATAATAACCTTCACAGTCATTACTATGTTTACAACTTATTTCTTTTAGTTACACTTTCATATTATCCTTCCACGTATGGCCATATCTCTGAAAGGATAACAAACCTCAATCATTGCTAAAAATCCAGTTTATTCAATACATCAGTAATGGTGAGCTTGGTCACATATGCTGAATAAGTGTCAAGCTTAAAAAATATCTGGGTATACAATTCTTTATTTCAGCATCCTGTTGCAATTGTTCACATTAGCGTACATTTGTCTATAATCCGTCTAAATTGCAACACTTTTTAATTTTACACTTCAATACACTCTCTAACACTACACGTTTTGGCCTCAAACTGCCGAAACATGTAGTGTTAGAGAGTGTATTGAAGTGTAAAATAAAAAGTGTTGCAATTTAGACGGATTATAGACAAATGGCCGCTAATGGGTATATACAAAATTCTGGTTTTAAGGAAATGTTTTGATGAAAAACGGTAACTAAATTATTAGTGTAATGTTAATTTACATACAAAAATATGCGGTTTAGGATGAACTTTATACCTGTGTATACAGAAATCTTATCTCTTGAGTTTTGGCATTTGAGCTTAAGAAGCGTTTGCCATCATTTCAATCCTTCATACTTGTAATACTCATACAGTACCAGGAATTGGTACTGTACCAGTTTCACTATATCCATCGTTCTATTATGAGTGCCTCTATTGATTTATGTCAGTATCAATTATTAATCAGCATTCTCTAAACTCTTCTACTAGGAAACAACTTTTGGCAGGACCCCTTGCAAAAATGTCTATGTACTGTACACAGCAATGTCATGCATCCATAAGTCTGCTGATAAATTTAATGATGAATAAATGCTAGTAACTATTCAGATATTTTATTAATTAATTAGTGATGTGAATATATTACTGCAGTTTCTGGAATAATGTAAAAATAAACTACACTTTCTATTGTCAGCAAGACACTAGTTGCTTTATTAATGAGCACATTATATAATCTAGATTTAGAAATGCTAGTAACATGTTGAACTAATAGTTTGTAAAAATTTGTAAAGCAAGACAGTTTCAAACAGACCTCTTGTGTTTAAAATAAATACAAGTCACACAGGAATAAAAAGGGCAGTAGACTGTTTTTCCTGTTAATTCTGTTTGTCCTCAGACATAATACTACATCGAATGGAATATTATTCATTTGAGACCTAGAACACAGAATTATGAAGGTGAGAATATTACTGACTTGCCATCACATTAAATATATAAAAAAACTCAGTCACATAAAGCACAGCTGTGCAGATCTATGCATCAGAACAATTTAGTGTTTACTTCTGCCACAAGAAAGCATAACAGAGTGGAGTAAGAAAGATAAATGAAAATAAATAGTGAGTTTTTAATATTTTCTGTATTTTCTTATGGTTTGGAAAAACATCAGTTTCTTCTGATTTATCTGATCATGATTACTTGGGTTCAAAGGGTGAAATATAAAGAAGGCCATGTTAGTTGAAGCAAATTTTAAAAATATATGGACTTTATAACAGACTAGTGTGCTAAAACTTCTATAGTGTTAACAAAAGTATAATTTCTATATACTGACTACAGTTACGCTCTTTTTCACTTTCACTCTTTTCGTGTTTTCCAGGAGCGATTACACTGCTTTATATTCTTGATCATTAATAACACAAAATATTTGACTTTCAGTCTAATAATATATTTTTATATCCATTTTTTAACGTTTGCATCCTTTTAAGAAATTCTTTTATACCAACTGAACTTAAAAATTACTTTAGTAATCTTCCTTGTAAATATTAAGTTTATAATGCGTCACTTTAAAAGCAATATTTACATCATACCCATATATACAAGCTTACTTGGCAAAATGTATAAGACACTAACAAATTTCTTGGTAACCAATATTATATATGCGTTATGGTTACTTAGTTCTGAAATTTATCAGAACAGAATACTGCAGTTCAGGAATTGGGTCCATTTCTGTCCTCAGGCAAAATGGTACACCCAGTTAGGTCAGCACATTAAAGAGAGTTTACTCAATCAGTCCACTGATTGTGATAAACTCATCCTAACAAACCCAACTGAGTAACAGTCTCCCCTATGAAGAGGGTAACAGGACCAGTTTCCAAAATTCTGTGCTCTGTATAGAATTTTGTGCAAAGCACATCCTCGAGAAATCTGTTAACTATACATGTTATACTGCATAGTCAGAACACTTCAGAAACGACTTATTTCTCTTTGCCATGCCATTTAAATTCACAGTTTCATCACATATCTGAGCATCATTTAAAGCACTTTGTACACTCTCTTTTGGTGTATTAAGCATAGCAACGGATATCTAATATTATGAAATTCTTCTGTGTTAGAAGTGGCAAGAGACTGAAAGGCTTGAACAACATACACAATCTTCCATAAGAAATTCAAATTCAATTTGTTAAATCAGAGTTTCTCTCAATGTTGAGTATTGTGATTGCAGTCTTCTGGGGCTGACACTGTGTTGTTTGACAGATGGATACCAAAGCTCTGCAGAAATTTGCTGCCTTCAACTTCTATCCCAGAGTTAGAGGCAGAAGGTTCCTCAGGAACCTTGGGACACATCTATCAAACTCCATAGTCCCACAATCCAGCAGACCATAATCCTGGCTCTATTTTCCTGTATATGAACATTACAATGTTTCTTGTAATAAAATCTTGCTCTAATGCTGCCTATGCAGAATATTTCTATCTATGCAAAATTCTTCATCTGAAGGGGTGAAAAGATGGTCTAAGATTCTAATTTTATATTCAATTTCACTGCAAATTATCCCTTAACTTCGGCAATATAAGCAAGAATTAGTTTAGTAATGAGACAGGTCACTGAATAATCTCATTTCCTTACATGGAATAAACCAATAACTAATCTGATATAAGAATCAGTTCCTTTCGGTTAGCTATATACACAAGCCGCTTACTTCACATTTGATGCCCATATTTTAAGTACCAATTTGCTGAAAGGCATAACTATCAGTTCACTTTGTGTGTTTATCTTACATTTTGTCAGATCTTGGCATACTCACTTGAGATAGGCCAGGGAAAAGCTGCCTTAGAAATCCGATTGTTCTTTTGTCTCTTGCACTAACGTCATGCCTTGGGTCACCTAGATTTAGTGTCTCTAACGTCTCCTGAAAAAGAAAAATTTATTTTAACACCATATAAATAGTATTTGGTTAATATCTTCAAAGCAAAATACTGAATGAACTTTTGATACCTCTGAAATAAAAAAAAAAAAATTAAAGGATTTGTTCATCAAGTGTACAGAAATTAACGTAGCTTTTGTGTTTGCATACTATTCTTGTACAAATATTATAAAATGAGAATCACAAGGCTCTTTCTGTCTGCTAGAGTATCTCATCTCCAAAAACACCTAAATAGATCTCGATAAAACTTAGCGTCGTGATTCCACACTAAAACTGTTAGCCAAGCTTAATTCTGGTTCATATAAATCCAATATAGGGTTAATACTCACTTTAACTGAAGTTCAAATCAAATTTAATTTGCTTTTCTAGAACAGGTTCATTGTACAAAGGAAAAGTTCATAACATAATGTACAGATATTAAGGCATAAACATTTTATTTAAGACATCTTTCAGTATGGCAAACATTTAATGAAACAGGAGGAAAACACTTTCTGACTCTGTGCTTTGTCATATCTGTAGTTCATAACGGATTTCTGTCTACAATGAATGGACATGAGAACCGATGAGACCGCATGTAAAACCACACAGAACTCAACTTGAAATACATGTAGGACTCTTCATGGGTACCGCCACAATTATTTCCAGCAGGGGACAGCCAGTTTTTCAGGGAGAAGCCAAAAATTTGCTTACTAGCTCACATTTAAACCACTTACAGCAAGTCTTACTGATAGCTCTATAGTATTCAGAAGAGAACAATATTTTTGTTAAACACTTTTAAATTTTGTTAGTGATGTTAACTACATTTCCTTCTTTTCTTCAAATGTTACTGTTTTTAAGTCTGAAGAAGGGGGCAGACATTTAGTTTGCCTCCTTCCTGTCGGCCATCATTGGCAAACTCCAAATAGAAGTACACATACATCTTTGCACTTCTCAGTACCATCAGAGAATCCATCAAAAAGTAGCTTCGGTAACAAATATGCTCCAAGGAATATGTATAGTACATATCTTCAAATTTATGACTTTAAGGTCTAGTTCTTACAACTTCTTTATTACATCTGTCACAACACAACAAATATCAAGATCAGTGCCTAGTTTCGGCTATCAATAGCCATCATCAGGCAAATACACGGTTAACATATATACATATACATACATATATACACCACTGAACTGCAGTACTAATAAAATTGGATACAATACTATTAATTATATAAAACACTTGATGTTAAACAATTAACATTAATTTACTACATCTACATCACAAGCCTCCTATACAATTTTATGTACTAAAATAGAGAATATTCCAATTTGTCCCTGGGAATGCAACGAAATTACAAAACCAACGACTGATTCGATGATATAAAACATCAATCTAAGAATTGTAGTCTTGTTTTATACTATAACTTCTGTTTTATATAATCTGATTTATTGTATTTTTACGTCAAGTGTTTTATATAATTAATAGTATTATATTAAATTTTGCTAGTACTGCAGTTCAGTGGTGTATATATGTTAACTGTGTATTTGCCTGATGATGGCTACTGATAGCAGAGCCGAAACTAGGAACTGATCTTGATATCTGTTGTGTTGTGGCGGTTGTAATAAAGAGGTTGTATATTGTAACACAAAAGGATGCATGAAATTAAAGAAAAAAAAGTCTAGTTCTTATTTGAAGTGAATTTTAGTGCTGTACAACATTGTCCTACATATTTCTTTTTTAAATCTTAATTAATTGCTTCATCCGTTAGTATAATGTTCATTTAAGTTTCCTGGTCCCTTGGATAACATTGTAACTGAATATGACAGCAGCTGCTGCTTATTTCTCTTGTAGAGTTAATGAAGATGTACTCTTAGTTGTCCTCTACTTACCAGTCACTGACAGTTTTTACAACTTCATTCAAATAACAAAATTCTGAGCTTTAGTAACAAGAAATTTCATATGCGGCACTCCAGCTATTGTCTAGGTAAGAACGCATTCGCTTCACAAAATTTTTATAGCTGTCATTGCATAATCATATAATTAACTTTTTGCCTAATGAACCAAGAAATCTGTGTTGCAATTACATAACTGAAGTAACTAACAATCAATTAACGCTCTGTTAGAGTATGAAGGTTTATAGAACCTTCATACTGTAACCAACCATACTCTACCAACGACTGACACTAGAAACAATTTTGAGATGATTTATATTTCCATAACATTCAACCTATTTATTATCTTTCCAGATCTTTCTCTTCCAAGTGGCCATTTCGAATCGGTATGTTATCACCATTCGGGGATTGCTGACAGACCACTGTACATTGAAATGGCATCTACATGTTGTGGGCCTCTAGGACGATGTAGTATGAATCAAACTGGACAGAAAGAGGGATTCTCCTTCCACCTACCTTGTTAATGCTCAAATTTGGTGAGGCACTGCATGATCTGGAGCTCTCCATGATTAGAAGGGACAGTTATTACAAGGGCCTCAGTCAGAAATGTTCTCATTAGCATTTAGGAAATGGTATTTTGGAGGTCCGTAGGGAAATCTTGAGCACCCTCAATGGGTCTTTCTTGTTTTTACCATCAAAGATAAATATCTCCCTTTACTGTAAATTCTTACACTTAAATTTCCTTAAAACACGAGATTATATAATGTAATTATAAAACTGTATACAAGTTTTACATACACACTGTAATTCTTACTTGTTTTGCATATTTGTGGTGAATCGACTTTTAACTTTCCCCCTTTGTAGGTCCTCGCGATCTCACTCAGTTTATAACTTTTTCTTCAACTGCAGTGAAAGGCGGTCGCATAACGAAAACCGGACAAAGACGAATAAACAACCACAAATAAAATTCAATCCTGATTTGTAGTGCCGAAACTAAGGGTTGCACTCCTTGCCAATTTTCGGTGATGAAGACAGACTTCATAGTTTCTTTAGCCACTCCAGGAATTTTACTGAGGGAACTCCTTTGCATTTCTAGTTCCAGATTTTAGTTCCAAACACATATTTTTTTACCTAATAGGTTATCAAATTTAAAAGCAGCTGCAAGTGGTTTAACTAAAATGTCAAGAGATGGCGTACGGGTTTCAATTATAATGTCAAACGTGAAGAACGAGGAAGGAGGAATGTTTCTGGATGATATATCTCGTTTTCAGCACGGAAACAGTCACGATCCTTAGGTATCTGATATACAACAGAGGAGGTAAATGATTTTAAATCGAAGGCGATGAGACGGGTTCGGCATCCTAGTAGACATAAGAATACAAACTAAGTCTTTACATTGAAACTGGGAAGAAATATGACACAAAAACAAACGTCCACATAATAAGTACACAGCACATTCTAAAGAAAAGCTCAATCAGGGGGTCATATTCAGGACGACTAAAGAAAACACACGTAAAAACAAAATAACTAATAATACTATTACATGTGACTAGCTCCAAAACATAAAATACAACAGCGCACCCCGGATGATGACCCTCTCTACAACGTGAGACAAAATAACATAAAGAGTTTTACATCATAACATGAGATAATTAAAAAAAAATGAATTATAAATATTTTTATAACTTTTAATAGTTACATATATTATATTGTAACGGATTTGATCAACAGGCAACAGCACTGTAAATATGGTCCAACACGCAACAATAGAAGAAGCTACATTTTCTGTAGATCCGACCGATGCGCCAATAGACTGGCTGCATGGCGATCTCGTGATATGTGTTTACTATGTCCGTTCCGCTTCTATATAAGTGAAAGAATTTGTTCAAGACAGTTACATCAAATCTGAGACAGTAAAATATGGTCTCGAGTCCCAAGGGACTCAGACCCGAGAAAGACTTCACTGGCAAGGGCCAGCAGCACATAAAAAGGCAGACCTGTCCTCTCGTCAGAGAGGGCACCCCACAGAAACAAGACCGTTAACTGTTAAAAGTAATAAATATCTGGTCGACACCGAGACTTACTGACTGACTGACTGACCGTCAGTCGCAATGTGACTTTGACTTTGACTCTGATTTGGAAGACATTTACGAGTAGTAGTAGCGGCAGAAACAGGCAAACAGAGGATAGCAGTAAGTTCGAGGAGTACCAAAGAGTACAAGAAGTCAGACTATGAGGATTTAACGTGTGATTTGAAGACTTTATGTGCGCTGTAGTGAAGTGATATTGGGAGTGTGTGATTTAAGGAGACTTTTATAGTTCCTGTGATATAAATCCGTGAAGACTACTGGACATAGACCGAACAGAGTAGCGTGGAGTACTTTGTAGTGAGAAAATAAGTAACAATGTACTAATAACGAGTTGTAGTTACGACCTGTAAGTGGTCAATAAATCAAATTAACAATCAAAACCCAGTTTTTAGTAACTGTGTCACGTGACATTACGATTATAATGTTTAACATTAATATGGATTCATATTAGAACATTTCAATAACAGGAAACATATTTAATGAAACTGTCTGAAGACTTTCCGAGATGTAGACTGAAACATGTAGCAATTATTAAATAAAATAAAAGTAAATAGATTCGTTTGCTTTCATCGTTGTGATGACGGCCAGAATACCACAAAAACCACAAACTAAGTACTGAGATTGTGTCTGTCTTTACCTCGTGACATAGTGTGGAATTCAAACGAGATATCAAATAGCTTCACAGGGCGAGTCCTTTAGAAGCTAATGATTACTAAGCCAGTCAAGAAATCCTCTCCATCTTATGGAATCCAAATATTAAGTATTCTAGTCACAAAAGCATTGTCACGTATTTCACAACCTTCCATGTTAGTTCCTGAAGCCGTTTACCTTTAATTTAGTTCGGGGTCTGTGTAACTTTCTGTAGCATGCTGAGTTATTACCCGGTGGGTCTGTTAGTCCCCCTCCACAGCTCACAAGATGGAGAACTATTCCTTACCGCCTGCCATTTTAAGTTTCTTTTATTTTTCGTAGGTTATGTAATGGAGCTTTCAGTACCAAGACTACATAGCGCCCGATAACGGG